GTTTCAGCTCCAAAAAGTCCTGCAGATTTGGGACAATGGAGCTTTTTCAAAAAGATTTTGTTTGCGATATTTATTCAGAGTGTCTGAGGTAAAACTATATTTATCATTTTACAGGCAGAATCCAAAACTGTTTTTGTAGGATGTCAGCAGAATTACACTCCTATCCTATAATTAGTTGGTGAAAGTCACTGTTCTTCCTCTATTTTGGGAAGCACAGAGATCTTTGTGTGCTATAAAGCTTGAAAATCCCTAAACTGCAGGAGTGTTTAGAGCGGAAATCAGTCGAGTATTAGTACCTGAAATTCTGCAGATTATCAAATAAAATGTCACAAACTTCATCCCATTTTATTTTGCTATTTGCTGAAGTCTTTTACTTTTTCAATTTGATTTATAAAGGCTTTCCTTGAATTTCGTTAATTCTCTTTCTTATTTCTTAGTACAGCACTCTACATCTTATTATGTGTTGTATGTGGACAGTTCCTTAGATGGAACCTTGCTTTGGGTGGCTGCACAATGTGTCTAAAGGCGCATTGAGACTAGGCTATTATCATCATTTCATGCTTTCAAAGAATTGTGACAAGATGTTCTTGATGTAACTTGTATTTCATTGTATTGAGCTTCATTTCTCCAGCAATCAAAACTGTACAAACTAACAATGTTCTTAACGGTACATAAAGTTCTCCCCCCATAAAGTGATAGCTCTAAAATGCGTGATAATGTAAGATCCTATTGAGTTGTAATTACTTCACCCTTTCCTCAAAGGTGTAAGAATTTAAAGGATTAGGCACAAATTTACAGTACACAGTAGAAATATAGATGTTTTGCCAAAAGGGATTACGATGGGCCAAAAAGGAGCAATGAATGTGTTTATGGATGTGAAGCTAGACATCTACATGATCCAAATGGTTAGGGAACCTACAGATAGAGGGACAACACAATACATATTAGGTAACAGTCAGGATGGCACATCAGGGTCACAAAGTAAAAAATACTGTATTTGCATTCGACCTTAATATGTTTTAATAACAGGTTTACAATAGAGAATGAGCGCTCACTACAGACCCTTAATTTAGGAAAGCAAACTTTGAGGGAATGAAAAAGGAATGCAGCTTTACTATAAGATGGTTTTGGAGTCAATAAAATCTCAATCTGCATTGTGGCAAGCTTCACTGCACATGCACACACTCCCCATCCAATTCCTTAAAAAAGATTGATATCACTTCCTGTGTACTGCATATGCGCAATGTGCAGGAAGTGATGTTGGCTATGATTCTGAGTCTCAGGAGTTGGCCATTTTTAATGGGGGAACCAACCGGCGTGTTGGGAAGCGAGCCATCAAGTGTGTGCAATGAATGGGGTCCATACCCTGAACTAGAGCTGTAAAACAACAACAACTTGCATTTGGATAGTGCAATTCACACAGGTAGCATCTCAAAATGGTTGAGAAGGGCTACACTGTATTTTTTGAAACAGAAAAATTATGTGTTAGTACAAGGTCATAACTTATTGGTGGAGGTTATTGGTTAGTGGTTTTGTTATTTTGGTATTGCAAAATGATCATTCCAAGATTAACAGGGTTACATTTTTGATACCTTTCCTTCCCTCCCCCTTTGGATGTTGTGCTTATTCAGGTTGGGATGTTAAATTGGTCACTTCAATCCACGACTGTTTGTGGGACACTGCTGTGTGCAATTGGTTGGCGCATTGCACCACAAAATATACAGTCAATTCACTTTACAGTATATTCTATGAAGCACTTTGAGACGTCTCAAAGACTAGATAAGACGCTATATCAAATGCAAGGATTATTATTATTACTGCTGGAGAACGAAATGCTTTCCCAAAATGTCGGTATTAAGCACTCCCACATTAGGTAAAGCACATTTAGATACAGAATAAAATTCTCTCTGCTGTTCTGTTCACTGTTCCACAACAATAAACAGGAATATTTTACCCATGTGACCATTTAATAAGCGAATGGAGTTTCTCCTGGTCTCTCGGCCACCAATCCCCTAAATAAAATTGGTCATTCACCACATTGCTCTTTGTGGGATATTGCTATTTGCAAATGTCCTGATTCCTTTGTATTCTTCGACAAATACACAGTCATTACTTACAGTATATGCTTGGCAGCGCTTTGAGATAATAATAATAGTAATAATAATCCTAGCATTTGTTACAGCGCTCATCACATTGTTGAGACTTCTCAAAGTGCTTCAAAGATATCCTCCTGAAGCATTATTACACATGCAATGATCATTATTATCCAGACAAACACCTTTAATTGGGAGGAGACCAGGGTCATTGGAAAGTGATTATAAATAGAAACCTTTTCTATTTTTTCCTTTCCCTACCTCAAAGATACCAAGACTTATTATAGTTTTGAACTACTGAGCAGGATGTATGAGGCCCATCACCACGTAAAGAGTATCCAAATGGAATGAGTGCTACACATGTACGCTACCCACACATGGAAATTTTCCTGTGTTGGGAAGGCAATGTGCACTCTCTCCTTGGAGAGAAATCACCATCCTATTCTAACAGGGATCCAACCTGGGCCGCTCTTGTACAATACTAGGCAGTACATCTACCTAATGGAGAAGCAATTCACTTTTTCGAAAGGAAGCTTGCTAGTGTTTCTGTACAAAAATCAGATTGAGAGCTTTTTATGGGCTAATTTGAGCTGTTTTGCATAATATTAGATGAAGTTGTGGAGCCTGATTTTCAAGAGTAATTATATTTAACTCCATATTTGAGTAAATCCACCACATTCGCACATGCAGTTTGCTGCTTATATGTTGTGATGGAGCAATATAATCCCTAACCAAATTGATGCTGTTGGATTTGGCTGAACATAATACATCTTGTTAAATGCTGACGATGTGGCAGAAAGAAAATTCCCAATGAATAGGACAATGAAAATAAATGTCAGTCTCTTCCCTCTCGCCTCCTCCCTCCCCTCATCTCCCATTGGATAAGATGGGAATATCAATGTTTCAGGTCATTTGTTATCCAGTTTGTCCACTTTATCAAATATAGGCTCACGTATTTAATAAAGTCCATATTTAGATTTTTCCCATCATTTAGAAACAGACATGCAATTTATTTTTGGGACATGTTTAATGCAGCTCAAAATCCTTTGCTTGCAGAAAGAGAAATGCCTTAGCTGTTCTCCCCTGAAGCAGCTACAGCACGAGGTGCTTTGAAAATTAGGCTCTACTTTTAAAGAGAATGTGGTATGCACAGAGTATTCTTTAGCCACTCTGTGCATGGACAATGGCATCTTAATGGCTTCATTTTTTTTGTTCTGTTCTTTGCTTCTTTCACATGGTATATAGTGAAATGACCATGAGGTGAGAATCTTTTATTTGTCTTTTTGTTATTTAAAAAAATCCTCTTTAATTTTCAAATACAAGTCTGCTTTGGTTTGCTGTGGATTTATTTATTTCAGAAACGGCAATGCCTGCCTTGAATGGGTTAATTATGGCATGCCTGATTTTGGATCTGTGTTTGCATCCTATCATTTGGGAAAAATAATAATATTACAGATTCATTCAATATTGAAGAATTCAACACACGTGGTTGAATAAGAATGAGGGGGAAGATTTGGTAGAATCAATCTGATATACTGCACAGCTTTTATTTTGGTTCGATATGTTGCTTTATGTTGAATCAGCAAATGTTCCATAGTATAACTCAATTTCTTTGAACCCACTCCAGATGAACACAAACTGTGTTAGGGAATGAATCTTCCTCCTACTTCAGATTCACACCATTTTCAGTTAAACTGCAGCTGGTGCAGAGTACATTTTCTTTAACTGCTAGGTTTGAAAAGATTGGAGGTAGTGCACTCGGACTGTCCTTGAAGTTTTCATGGAGATGAAGAGTTGAGAGTTCTGCTGGCATTTCACTCACATTTTAAAATAACTAATGGGCATTCAGATGAGTTTAAAGACAGGCCTGTTAATTCTGATGCAGATTCTGGTCGGACACTGTGTTTTCAGTAGAAAAGTGCCATAAAGCAGCCATGTCTTCCAGCTTGTCAGAAAACGTGACGTATTGCTTCATAAATTAAAAGTTAATCATTAAAAACGGTTCTCTGTAATGAATGGGAAATTATAAATTACTGGGTGGTTAATGCACTTAGTTCAGCATTGCCAGGATTAATCCTCAATCAATCATTCCTTTAAGTGCACTACTTCTAAATTATACATCAGATTTGCTGCCAAATAAGGACAATAATTTCAAAATATGTTTATCAATTATAATATCAACTTGTTTGTCTTTTTCTGCATTCTGCTTTTTCCCCCCTAAAATGGAGTCAATTTCGGTAACAAAATCTCCATTGGAGGAAACATTTAAACTCTTAGATTATTAGCGTGTTTGAACCATCGCTGCTATAAGAAACATATCCAGAATATATAATTGGTACCATGGTCTGAGCATTTATTTCACGTGAAAGAGCATTAAAAGCTCCAGTGCCTCAGTGTTTAACAGGCAGCAATGAAGTAGCAGCAACAGTCTGAGGAATGAATGAACAGATGAGTTATGAACAGACCTTGGTACCCTAACCTTTTGATTAGATGTAGAAATAGAATCCGTTGATAAATAGACTTCCTGATCCTCTATTACACCTGTATGGTTTGACAGTTTTTAATTGATCCATGGGAATTAAAATAAAGAATCTGGGATTAAACTTTGTGTGAAAAATATTTTTTTTAAAAAACTTAATCAAAAAGGTAGTTCAGTGATCCATTCAAATCAGTTAAAAATACTGTATATATTAGAAATTAAAAATGAATTACTTTGAAAATAATGGGGTCTGTTTAAAGCAGATTGCTCTCATTCTCTCTTCACATTAAACCATATGGTTCCTGCAGTGGAGATGTTCCCCTTCAAAGAGCAGACATTACAATTGTAAAAAAAACACGTCCTCCCCCACCCAAACTGTTACAAGAACGATGAATGTTTGGAATTTAATTCTACGTTATCTTTCACAGTTGGATGAAAAGGCCTCGTTGCGGTGTGCCTGACCAGTTCGGAAGCAACTCACGGTTTAATATCCGAAGAAAGCGGTATGCATTAACTGGGCAGAAGTGGCATCACAAACATATCACCTACAGGTACTTACTTTTGCCAATGCAAACAGTCACTGCACCTGACTGTAAATGTGAAATGCTTTGAGTTGTTTCGATGCGAAAAGGTTAAATTAACAAAAAAAATACTTTTTATTTTACTCACAAGCCATTAAGTGAATAGCTTCACTTAATATTCATCAGGTGAATATGCTGTAACATATGACTTGTCAGATGACTACCTGCAATTGGCTTATCGCTGACAAGTAAATATTGAATTTTGTATTTCTGTAGGACATCTTTAAATCTAAATATCACATGGACTATTTTAAGAGCACAGTAATCTGTAATCTGGTCTGTTGCCAGGATAAGTGTGCCTCTGTTAGTTTGCTGTAAGTATTTCTGTTATTATTGGTTGTTTATCTTATAGCCGTTTGAAGTTCAAATTAATTTTAAAAAATTTGTTTTGGGGTGGGCGGGGGGTTCTGACACAAATGCGGAAATCCATCACCATGCTTAGGAGTGTCTAAACTACACTGAGAGTTCCATGCATCCCACCTACATGTAGACATTTCTGTGTCTGGAATGGAATGCACACTCTCTCGTTGAAAGGATTCATCCTGCTCATCTAGTTCCAAGTGTATTAGGTGCTGATTGACAAGAACCAAGGCCTGGGGATCCCAAAGTGTCCATTGGGGTACTGCTGATGTCTAACCAGCTAAAAGCACATAGCTTGCCATTGAGAGCACTGCATGGCAAGCTTTCTCACTTCATGTCCAGCTCAGACCACCCTACCTGTTAGGGCTTTGGCTTGCAGGTTTAACAAGAGCTGATTGGTAAGAATCTCTGCCCCTAGTGCCCAGTCTGCCCCTCCAAGAACTGCTAATAGGGCAGTGTGGCTGGTCATTCATCAGCAGTGACCTGGAAATTGTTAAAAATAATATTTAAATTATTAATTTAAAATAGTTTATACAATTCCTGGATTAGAGAGGAAAATCAGCCCCCACTTGCTTTTGGTTCCTGCATGACAACCCCTGCTGAAAATGTGTTTCTTTGTATCCCAGAAGGACTATGATGTTTTGATGCTCCTCTCCGCTCCATCTACAAACACCCACTGACAAAGCTCACACATTATTAATTGCCCTCCCAGCTATCAGCAGGCAATAGGTGCCCATATAGATCCATGCCACAGCGTGAGTTTGCAACTTCAGATCAGAGAATGATTAGTAAGTTTACCGCACAGTAGGAACCCATTCAACCATTGTTTATGTCGTAGTGCTAGATCCCCTATTGGCTAACTACCAAGATACCATTTCCAAGCTATTCCCCTTTAATAATATTTTCACTCAATTATTTATGTAATTTGTCTTTTAAATGCTGTTATGGACTCAGTTTCAACACCCATTTGTAGTCAGGTATTTATCATTGTGACAGTGCTCTGTGTAATAACATTCCTTTTAACCTCCTTTATTTTCTTAAGCAGGTCAACAGTTGGGAGGCACCACTCTCTCTCTGCTTCTGTACATACTTTACAGTTTATGGTTTTGGCCAGCCATCTGTATATGTGAAATCGGGGAAGGGGAGGGGGTTTTCAAGCACAAAATGACAATTTTATTTAATATGCTGGCTGAATTTTTTCCCTGTGTCAGTAACTTGCATTTTATACTGATTGAATTTCACTGGTCCAATGATCAGTCCAGGTACATACCCTATCAAACTCTTATTGTAAGATCTCAGCTGCCGACGTTGATTCCTCTAACTTGTTGTTGACTGTAAACTACTTTGCACTACATCTGTGAATCCAGGTCATTAATGCAAACAAGGAACAGGTGGAACCCAAGGCACCTCACTTAGTTGAATCCTTGGTTGAATCCACAAAATCCCAATGGCGAATTGCGATAGCTGGTTTCACTGCACGTGCATGCAGTGCCGGCTCTCTACCTGTCAGTTCCCAAGGTTAAAAAAAAGGCAGAAGTCCAGGTTTTCAAGTCACCAATGCCACCTCCTGTTTGTTGCAAACTACATGTTATTTTGTAATTTGAGTTTTGCTAGGTCTGTGATCCAGAGTAAGACGGAAATAAATATTACAATGCTTAGTGACATTGCAGGCCTGAACTCAATTTATTTCTCCTTTATCAACAGCATTAAGAACTTCACTCCTAAAGTAGGAAAACTTGAAACACACAGAGCTATACGCCGTGCCTTTGATGTGTGGCAGAATGTAACTCCGCTGACGTTCGAAGAGGTGCCCTTTGACGAATTAGAAAACAAGAAAAGGGATGTGGACATCACAATTATGTTTGCTTCTGGGTTCCACGGTGACAGCTCGCCTTTTGATGGGGAAGGGGGTTTCCTTGCACATGCTTATTTCCCAGGACCTGGTATTGGAGGTGACACTCACTTTGATTCTGACGAGCCGTGGACGCTGGGAAACCCGAATCACGATGGTGAGAATTTTTCATTTTAAATTACTCTGTGAAACATGTCAAAGTGCTGAATGCAGAGCAAGGAAATCTCACTTTTACCAGCTCTTTGGGCTCAAAAGAATAGTTCTTACTCGTCTCTTCTTGGTTCAAAATCTGCCTGATGCACTGAATTTCACCTGGGAACTAGGAGAACATTGCAACAGTACCGGCAGAATTCGTTCAAAGCAGATAAGACAAATGACATTATTACTTCTGTGCTTTGGAGACTGTGCTAAAACAAACAGTAGAGTCAGAATACAGCTGCTTCATTTTATAAATGGTGTAAATTAAGATGTAAATTAAGTTCTGTAATCTGCAATTCTACCAAGTTTTAGCCTTCAGACCATTCTAAAATGTTAAAATTGTGCAGAATTTTCACCACTTCTTAAATTCATTAAAAATGTCAAAGCCGATTTTCTGCAGCTGTTTTTAAGAGCTCTAGAAAATCAGCTCCCAATTTAAACTGAACTTAAACCTTTGCTAAAATTCAGTACAATTGTACATTTTAAGAAAATTGTTTTAAATCTCAAACCAAGTCAAATGTTGGATCTCTGTTAATGCTCTAGAAACTCATTGTTTCAGATCCAGCAATATACAACTGATATTACTTGATGTTTTCATTAACATGGAATACAAAGAGATTATTTTCCTATCCTTTCCTATCTCGCTTTTGCTCTCCCTCACCAATTACTGGATTCAATTTATTTTATACATTACAGCAGGAAAGGATTAAAAACATGATGGCAGCATAGCTGTAACAGTCACTGAACCACTAACCGTTATAACTAAACACTGATACTCATGATACTCGTTCAGTTGGGACTGTGGCTTGAGGACATGCCCACACCATCAAGTCTCATCGATGGGCCAAATAGGCTGATCAACCATATACATCACCTTGAATTCCTTAAGACCTGCCTGAAACCTTTCAATTCTCCTTCTTTCACTCTCCAACAAAGGATTTTTTATGCATACAATTTACATTCATATAGTGATTTTCATGTCAGGATGAAATCTCAAAATGCTTGACACTGCTGGCTGGGCACCTGATAGAGGGGGGTGGAGTGGACTCAAATATCTGTGCATAGATATTTTTCAAGTTCAAGAGAGGGAAGGGATAAGTGAACTCACCTTGATTTAAGTCCAAACTTTTTTGGCTGCAAGACTAGTATTCCTCTCCCTCTCCCCCTGGCTCAGGGTCAGATTCCAACACTGTCAAGCGCTCCAGGATGCTACCCCATGTAAAGGGCACTGTATAAAAGCAAGTTGTTGTTCTACCAACTAAGCTACCCTGTATTTTTTTAAGGAGTTGTAAACTCATGGGGATCCACAGGATGCAATGCAGAAAAATGTGGGTGTGAATGTGAATGGCTTCATGCCCAGGAACTCATGTCAAGTTCACTTCTTACTACAAATCTGCATTGATTTAGATTTCAAACAGAATTATCTTTGGTAAGCAAAGGCTTAAAAAGATAATTCAAATATGTTTGAGAAGCTTAGAATATGGTAATAGCAGGGTTGTTTAAACGTGATTATTCCTAACCAGCAAGGGAGTACTCACAGCATTGAAAAGCAAGTAGAGCAGCTCAGTTGAGGGTCATTGAATATAGTTCTTTGAAGTGAAAGGCATGAAATATAGAGTCATTGAAAGGTCATTCAGACTTTGACATTAGAATCATAATTCTTGTATTTAACATAGGATCTTACCACTTCATCAACATCTGAAAGCACTTCACAGGAGTCTACTGCAACGTGTAGTGACTGTGCATCTGTAGGTGAAATGTATATAGCATCACAAGAGTGAAACACACAAATGATCATTTATGTCTGTGGACTACACAAGTGAAAACAGAGACTGTCTCAACTGTTGTATAAGACTGTTCAATTATTGGAATGAGAATGTGGAGTTCCATTTAGTCTTGGCAATTGACACACACTTGATCAAATTTGTGTTTGTTTCATACATGTATCTTGACACGATGGGCCGAATGGTCTTCTTTGGTTCTGTGAATTTCAAAAACTACTCTTGTAAGGCAATTTTATCATTGAAGTCTCATAGGTACATTTAGCACTCTCACCTCTGGGTCAGAAGGTTGTGGGTTCAAGTCTCATGTTGGGATTTTAAACTCATAATCTTGGCTGCACTTCATTATAGTGCTGGGACAGGGTTGCATTGTTGGGAGGTGTTGTCCTTTGGATGAGATATTAAACCGAGGTCCTGTCTGCCTGTTCAGGCGAATAAGAAAGGTCTCTTGATATAAATATTCAAAAAGAGAAGAGTTTCTCTCAGTGCCCTGGCAAACATTTCCCCAGATAATATTGATCATTCTGTATGCAAATTGCCTGCCTTTGAAATATATAGGCACTATACTTTTGAGTAAATCCTGCCCTGTGAAGTACTTTGAGACACGATATGGAGCTGTATGAAGAGCAAGGATTTTTTATTATTTATAAAAAGGAGATTACTAAAAGAAATGTATTCAGGTAAAGCTGCCTAACATTTAAATCTAAAGATCATTACCATTCACAGCAGTCCTGTTGTGATCGATATCAGCACTTTTATGCCGTTACCAGTTTGCACAAGAGAGCTATTGAACATCAGAAATAGCCAACTCATGACAACTGTAAAAAGGGAAATCACTGATTGCATATAATGGTTCCTTTGTTTCAAAGCTTTATCTTAATTGCTGAAAATAATTTTTCTGTGTGAAATGCAGAAACATATTTTAAGTAATAGTGTTCCTCATCCTGCAAGATTCCACAGACCAAAATAAAGAAGCTCAGTTGCTTTCTTTTATTTCAGAGGGTCAGGACATGTGGACGCAAACATTGACTGCCATAATCTGACTCATTTCAATATTGCAGTAGAATTTTTTCCGTTACCTAAAAAATGATATTAAAAGGCTCCATATCATTGCTAGGCCTTGCCTGTAATCACCGTCTTTGACAAGGTGTTCATTTCCAAAGTGTAATTATGGAAATCTGCAGACTCCATTCAAAGTGAAAAATGCCCGTGTGATGAAGGTTATTAAAGCTTAAGGTAGAAAACACACAAATTTGTAAGTACCAAAGAGATTAAGAACCCCTTCTCCCCATCTATTATCTTGCTTGACAATTGCATGCTAAATAGTTCAAACACAACATTACTGTTGAGAATTCCTGTTAATACCTCAGGTCTGGACATACTCAATATTGTAGTTTTACTGTGAGTGATTTTCTTTAGAAACTAGCACATTAGAAACAGCTGACCAACCTCTTACATGCATTATCCATCAGTCCAAAATTTCTGGGAGATGAACATTCATTTCCCCCCAGTTATTTTTTGCCCCCTCCCCACAATCGTTTGGTGAGCTTTCAGCCATTCTTCTCGCTCTCTAGAACTCCATTTCTATGTTCCGCCACCTCAGCCCCTCGCTCCCCAGCAATAAAGCCCATCTTAAAACCTTTCTTTTCATCCACACTATTGGTCACATTCTCACTCCCCTATCCTCAGCTCTCCCACCTCCAGATAAGGCTCTTAACTGATTCTGTGAAGTGCTTTGAGACATCCTCCCAACATAAAAGACACTAAATAAAATGTAAAATTGTTGTGGTTATTTTGGGGTTTATGTTGGTGTGAGGTATCAATGCTAGGAGATGAAATGTTTCCCCACATCTTGTACTTTGTATCAGTACTAGGGTCCCTAGGGTAATACAATATGACTGGATTAGATGGCAGGGTCACGTTTTCTCTACAACTTCCTTGAAGATCTATCACCCCAACTTCAGTGGAGTACCCTCAGACTAAGCACAGAAAACTGTTATATTGTCACTCCAAGGGAAAAAAGCTCAGTGACCCTATATCCAGGGTGATTATGTAGTCATACATCCTCCGGGGTCTCTAGGGGGTGCTGTGGAAGGGAGGGCATACACCACACACTGTGTCCATGTAGAACAAGAAGCTCTTCAGAGTGAAAGCCCGGTCCCCATAGCTATCAGTTTATTTGTTGAAACTCAGTGAAATACAGTACACAAAATCCCTGGCTGGTCGAACTAATGCGGGGGGGAGATCTGGTCCTTGAGCTAGAATTTCTGGCTAAGTGTAATTGCAATGCCAGTACCCGCATTTATGGGCATATCTGGACTGTATGTAGGATACTGCTGTGCGAAATTGGCTGCTGCGTTTCACCCACAAAATATACAGTCAATTCACTTTACAGTATATTCTGTGATGTGCTTTGAGACGTATTGAAGATGTAGCAAGACACTATATCAAATGCAAGGATTATTTATTATTTTTAATTTTATTTATTTATTGGCATTTTTCAGCGTTGGCTCTTTCCAGTGCTGAAAAATACCGGTGCCGACATTGTAATTGTTTGAATCCCATGAGCAGAAGATAGCGAATAAACTGTCTTCTGTTCACGGGATTCAAATTAAGTTAAAGTCGATCTCCCTGGCCATTGAAAGCCAGTAAGCACAGTGAGGTACTAGGAGAGTGGGCCCACAGGAGTCTACACGTGGGGCCACAGAAATGTTTTTTAAAAGTTCGGTTTCGGGCACAATCCACTAGATACTATTCCACACATCCAGAGTGTATGTTTATGCAAAGGCATTTGTATCTATCAAAAAGGGTTTGCTGAGAGACATGTTATATAGCTGTGCACATTTTACTTCCAGTTTACAACGTTTCAATCCAAGGCATGGGATGTGCACCCGTAGGTAGATATTGGGAGGTTCCATGCTGTCATGACATTGGACTCTGGAATGTTGTGTCAATTCCAACTGGGAAACCCTCATCAAGACAGCTAATATGTGGAAACTACACCAAGAGTGAGATTTGATTACTTAAAATTAGGATTTTTGCAACACATTTTTCTGAAGGTGAAACTCTTGTCATTGCAAAGAAAATCTGAATTTTGTTAGGATAGAAACCCTTGTTTTAAAATTAGTCACATTGCTTCCACACAAGGATTCTAAGAGACCAGGTATTCTAGAGTTAA